GGGGCAGTAGAGGACTGGAAGGAATTGAGCCATCAGCCACCATTCACAGACAAGAAGGGTTAATGAACCTGGGCTCGAGTCCAGCTCCGGCCCCTCTGATGGGGCACACAGCTTCCTTGCCACTGTGCGCCCCAACCCGACTAGGATGTCCCCTGGCCACTCTCCTGAAATAACTGAAGAGGCTTCAGCAGGGACGTCAGACCTCAGACCATGAGGGTTCTTGTCTCTTTTCCCTTTTGGACACTACAGATCTTTTGCTGTGCCCATCGTGAGTCGGAGATCTATACAATCAGGGGTGTCTGCGAGCCTCTCAGCAGAGCTAAGCCCCTGAGGTTACTCCAGAGAGACACAATGGGATTGGGTGCCATACATGTTGGTGTAAGGTCCTCTGATCAAAAGCTAGAATCTTCTGTGGACCACAGTCTGACACATCATTCTTGGGACCCTAGAGTGACTTTCCTTTTATACTGTAATTCTGGGTGTAACAAACAACTGCTGGTACCCTGACATTATGAATAAAGTTCTATGGGAACACAGCCAGGCTCATTCATTCACATATTATCTATAGCTGCTTTTATACTACAAGGGCACAGTTTAGTAGTTGCAGCAGAGAGGATATGGCCCACAAAGCTTTAAGTACAATCTGGCTTTTAATAAAAGGTGTGCTGGCCAGGCCTGGTGGCTCACGCCTATAATCCCAGCACTTTGAGAGGCCACAGTGGGCGGATCACCTGAGGTCAGGAGTTCGAGACCAGCCTGGCCAACATGGCAAAATCCCGTCTCTACTAAAAATACAAAAATTAGCCAGGCGTGATGGCACTCACCTGTAATCCAGCTACTTGGGAGACTGAGGCAGGAGAATCACTTGAAACTGGGATGTGGAGGTTGCAGTTAGCCGAGATTGCACCACTGCACTCCAGCCTGGGCAACAGAGTGAGACTCCATCTCAAAGGAAAAAAAAAAAAAAAGTTTTCTGATCCCTAAGTCCAAGATTCACATCCTCACTTTCAAAGGCCTTCAGTAGACAATTAGATGTCTTCATTGCTGTATCATCCCTTCCATCTGTTTCACTGCACTTACTCTAAACCTTGAAGACTCTTTGGATCTAATTTACTCTCCCTCCCACTGTTCTCAGATTGTGCTGTGTCATTGCTAATACTCTCCACCACAGCTAAGTCTTCCCATTCTAGCAAATAAATAACTACTGAAATCCCACCCCATCACGAAAGCTCCCTGAACATTTGGTGGCTTATTTGGGGTGCTGTGGGACACATCAGGATCCCCGTTCTCCAGCAGGGTGACCACTCTAGAGATGCAACCCACACATTCTTCAGAAAGCTGTGTGCTGTGTTTCCATTCCGTCTCTGGTTTCTTTCTCCTCTGACCTTTTCACAGGTCAGATCTTTGAATGAACACCATCACAGTCTACATCTCTAACAAAAGCAGATACCTGCGTTTTCCCAACAATTTGATAGGAGATTCTAGTGCAATGATAGGATCATTTCCTTGGATTCTACCGTAGATGGAATTTGTAGCCTCCAAGAAGGCTTGCCCCGCTTCCTTCTTTTTGTGCTGGTAGGATTGAGATGCTCATGGTGCCTAATCCAGTCAGCTCTTCCTCTGCTGAAAGTTTATGGTACTACGCAATTTATTGCTCCTTGGAGACCTGTGATAAAACATTGGAGCTGGCCACTTAGGAAACTAGGAGTCTTTATTTTTGGAAATCTTTACAAAGAAAAGATTCTGAAGTTATTGCTACTGACTATTTGGAACTAAACAAATAGTGAATGGAGAAATCAATGTAGCAAAATATGCCTGTTCTATGCGAGTTTAAGACAGGATACATGTGGCCTCATAAGTTGATAAAGAAAAGCTCATTCATTAAATAGAATAGGAATAAGTTATTTTGGGGAAAAAAATTATTTAGATGAACATATCACAAAATAAATTACTGATGGAATAATAAATAAAATACGTTTGAAACAAACCAAGAAAATCCGGAAGAAAATGGAATTGAGTATTTATTAAACCTCTAAAAGGAGGTAGTTTTTTAGGCAAAGAAAGAAGAGATTAAATGAATTACAAAAGAAAAGGTTAACACATTTTCATATAAAAAGTTATTATAACTAAAATAAAACTACAAATAAACCACATGGGAAAAGCACACTTACAGCAAACCTGACAAATAGTTAATATCTGTTCTATGTAGAGCTCATTGAAAATAGTAAAAACGTTAGAATCCTAAAAGATAAACAAAGAACATAAAAAATATACTAAAGAAAAATACACTTGGTATATTGAAGTATGAAAAAATGTCAATGTTGTAAAAAAATTATATATGTATATCTCTGAAAGAACTTTCCATATCAGTACATTAAGGTTTTTGTTTTTTTTTTTTTTTTTGAGACGGAGTCTTGCTCTGTTGTCTAGGCTGGGGTGCGGTGGCATGATCTCGGCTCACTGCAACCTCTTTCTCCTGGCTTCAAGCAATTCTCCTGTCTCAGCCTCCCGAGTAGCTGAGAGTACAGGTGCACACCACCATGCCAGGCTAATTTTTGCATTTTCGGTAGAGACGGGGGTTTCACCATATTGGTCAGGCTGGTCTCGAACTCCTGACCTCAGGTGATCCACCCACCTTGGCCTCCCAAAGTACTGGCATTACAGGTGTGAGCCACCATGCCTGACAAGTACATTAAGATTTTTTAAATAATTGCATAGCATTCCGCTATGTGGGTTTATCATAATTTGTTTGACCAGCCTCTATTGATGGATATCTAGGTTATTTCCAGTATTTTGTGATTACAAACCATGTCGCAATGTACAGTATCCTTTGCACAATATGTTTCCTTGTAAAAAATAACATTGCACAAATAAGAGTATATCAGCAGATAAATTCCTAGCAGTGGAATTGCGGGGTCTGAAGCTATATGCATCATAATTTTGCTAGCTCATGTAGACTGCCCTCCGTAGCCCTGTGCCAAGTGATACTCCCGCCAAGCCTGTATGACAGTGTGGGAGCGACTTTTCTCTCTCACTTTCACCAACAGAGTGAGCTATCAAATTTTCTTATCTCTGAGCAAAAAAAATGTTTCTTTAATGGAGTTTTAATTTTCCTTTCTCTTGGGAGTGAAACTAAGAATCTTGTTTTTTTTTTTTTTTGAGATGGAGTCTCGCTCTGTTGCCCAGGCTGGAGTGCAGTGGTGCGATCTTGGCTCACTGAAAGCTCCACCTCCCGGGTTCATGCCATTCTCCTGCCTCAGCCTCCCGAGTAGCTGGGACTACAGGCGTCTGCCACCACGCCCGGCTAATTTTTTGTATTTTTAGTAGAGACGGGGTTTCACCATGTTAGCCAGGATGGTCTCAATCTCCTGACCTCGTGAACTGCCTGCCTTGGCCTCCCAAAGTGCTGGGATTATAGGCATGAGCCACCATGCCCGGCCGCTAAGAATTTTTTTATGTATCTAAGAATCATTGTATTTCTTTTTCTCTAAATTTTCCATTATTGCCTGTTTTTCTTTTCAGTCGTTAGTCTTTTTCTCATTAATTTGTAGTGCATTTTAGGAAAATGAGTTAATTCTGTGGGTTATTTTCTATGGGTTCTAAATTTTTTTAGCAAGTGTTTTGTTTGCCTTTTGACTTTGTTTTTTGTTTTGTTTTGAGACAGTCTCACTCCATCACCCAGGCTGGAGTGCAGTGGTGTGATCTCAGCTCACTGCAACCTCCACCTCCCAGGTTCAGGTGATTCTCCTGCCTCAGCCTCCCAAGTAGCTGGGATTACAGGTGTGGGCCACCACACCCAGCTAAATTTGTATGTTTAGTAGAGACAGGGTTTCACCATGTTGGCCAGGCTGGTCTCAAACTGCTGACCTCAAGTGATCCTCCTCGGCCTCCCAAAGTGCTGGGATTATGGTGTGAAGCAACCGCACCTGGCCAGCCTTTTGACTTTGAAGAGGCCTGTTTTAGAAATAAGATATTGAGGCCCAAAGAAACATAATTCCGGCCGGGTGTGGTGGCTCATGCCTGTAATCCCAGCACTTTGGGAGGCCAAGGCGGGCAGATCACGAGGTCAGCAGATCAAGACCATCCTGGCAAATATGGTGAAACCCCGTCTCAACCAAAAATACAAAAAAATTAGCCAGGTGCTGTGGCAGGCGCCTGTAGTCCTAGCTACAGGTGGCTGAGGCAGGAGAATGGCATGAACCCGGGAGGCGGAGCTTGCAATGAGCCGAGATTGTGCCACTGCACTCCGGCCTGGGCGACAATGCGAGACTCCGTCCGTCTCAAAAAAAAAAAAAAAAAAGAAAAGAAAAGAAAAGAAAAAAAGAAACACAATCCCTTGTATAAAAGGCACGCAGCAATCCTGCAGCAAGGCCAAAGTGAGGCTTAGGCCCTGTAACTCCCAGTCCTTGTGTCTTGGGTTGTCAGAAGGCCTCAGCTGTAACGTCTAGGGATTGAGGCAGGTGACCTTGCACTTGTCCAAGAAGAGAAACGGCTCACGCCTGTCATCCTAGCACTTTGGGAGGCTGAGGCGGGTGGATTGCCTGAGCTTAGGAGTTCGAGACCAGTCTGGGCAACACAGTGAAACCCCGTCTCTGCTAAAATACAAAAACGTAGCCGGGCGTGGCGGCGTGTGCCTGTAGTCCCAGCTACTCGAGGGGCTCAAGGGGGAGAATTGCTTGAACCTGGGAAGTGGAGGTTGCAGTGAGCTGAGATCGCGCCACTGCACTCCAGCCCAGGTGACAGAGTAAGACTCCTTCTCAAAAAAAAGAGAAACTGGATTAGATTTACATCGCTCATCACACACATTTTTGGTAACTGGATGATACGTGTTCATTGAACACTTACTGGCATAACCAAACTCCACCTACCCTGGGAAGGTGTAGAGGAACTAGACCAGTTCCTCTTCTCAATTTCATTGTCTTGTCCCTGGCACCACCAGTTATCCACTGGTTAGTCTCGTTTGAATTCATTTACTCTTCTTTTCTCCTTTTCCCTCATAGCAGTCATTGTCCAAACCTGCTTTTTTCCGACAAAATTCAGAGAGGAGGAACTTCAAACTGCTGGACACTAGGAAGCTGAGTCGGGATGGAACTGGGTCCCCTTCCAAAATCAGCCCCCCCTCCACTCCCAGCAGCCCTGACGACACTTTCTTTAACCTTGGAGACCCACAGAACGGCAGGAAGAAGAGAAAGATACCTAAGGTAATGGTGGCAACAAGCTTCATGCTCAGATGTGCATGACCCTTTCTCTGTGAAAGAAGACTGCAGAGGGGTCTGGGTGGGGAATACATCACTGGCCCCTCTCCCACCTGTGTTGCTGCAGGCCAGGGGGACACAGTGAAGCCAGCAGGCTGGAATATCTGGACCTTCATCCTGATCATTTTTGTGGTCCTGTGGTCTTCCTCTTAGCCACTCTTCTCCCAATCTCAGCTGCTTGTCTGATCCCAGACAAGGTTTTAATGCCCATCCTCAAAAAGCCACAGCTCCTTCCTTCATCGCCACAAAAAAACAGAACTCCATCCATCATGCTCTGACCTGAGACTTGGTCTACACCCGCTGCAGAGGCAGGTCCCAGTCTGTGTTCTGAGACAGCCCTTGTCAACAATCCTCTTGTGGCTCTTTGCAGCCAAAAAGGTAAAATATTCCCAGGGGCTTGGATATATACATCTTTATGCATCTGTTGTTGGTTACATTTCCTTTTGCTCAGTTTCAGTGCTGCAGTTTGGTCTCTCTTCATTGACCAGTTTGGTACTGTAGGGTAGGCAAAATTTCTCCTCTACCCTCTTAGGGTCTCCAGCTGAGCCTTAGATTTAAACTGACGTAAGACAATTAACAGGAAAAATGCATACTCATTTTATTTACAAGTACGTGGGAGCCCTCAAAAGAAAAATGTAAGACCCAAAGAAGTGACTGGATCTATGTGTTTATATACTAGGCTGAACAAAGAGCGGCAATTGTGGAAAAGTAACCAGGAAGATAGGGGTTAAACAAGATTTGTCTGATTAGATTTATCTTGGCCTCAACTCGCCATCACTGGTGATAATGTGTCTTTCCTCCTGTTATAAGGAGGGCCTCTTTTATGTGGAGTTTCATCTCCTGTTTTAAGAAGAAAAGGGAAGGTCAGAGCGACCTTCGTGCACCTTCTGTTTTTCAAGTGTCTTTAGTTAAAAATAATCAATATGCCAAAGTGGCATATTTTGGGGAGCTATGTCCTGAACTCCTTCAAGATCAACTTTTTTTTTTTTTTTTTTTAGATGGAGTCTCACTCTGTTGCCCAAGCTGGAGTACAGTGGTGTGATCTCGGCTTACTGCAACCTCCACCTCCCAGGTTCCAGCCATTCTCCTGCCTCAGCCTCCTGAGTAGCTGGGACTACAGCCACCATGCCCAGCTATTTTTTGTATTATTAGTAGAGATGGAGTTTCACCATATTGACGAGGCTGGTCTCGAACTCCTGATGGTGTGATCCGCCCACCTCAGCCTCCCAAAGTGCTGAGATTACAGGCGTGAGCCACTGTGCCCAGCCAAGATCAGCTTCTTACAGGAACCTGTAGAGCAGGGATTCTTAATTTCAGAGTTCATGGATGGGCTTTAGGGGGTCATGAAATCCACAAAAATGTAAAACTTTATGCAGATAAGTTTCCATGTGGGACATTGTCCGTAGCTTTCATGGGATTTCTCTGAGTAACTCATCAACCTGAAAGAAAGTCAAGGGAGGCCGGATGCAGTGGCTTACACCTGTAATCCCAGCAGTTTGGGAGGCCAAGATAGGAGGACCACTTGAGCCCAGGCATTCAAGACCAGCCTAGACAACATGGTGGAACCCCATCTCTACAAAAAATTTTAAAAGTAGCCAGGCATGGTGGTGTGCACTTATAGTCCTAGCTACTTGCGAGGCTGAGTTGAGAGAGAATCACTTGAGCCCAGGAGTTAGAGGCTGTGGTGAGCTATGATCGCGCCACTGCACTCCAGCCTAGGTGACAGAGCGAGATGTTGCCTCTAAAAAAAAAAAAGAGAGAGAGAAAGAGAAAGAGATGGTTCTGCTGAAGTCCACCTAGGGATATTGCCTTTAAGTAGTGGTGCCTGTTGAGTGACTCACTTTGTCAGCACTAGGAGAGGTTATGAAAGGACCTGGCAAGTCTGAGGACAGCTAAGAAATTTCATCCTAGAACCGAGAAAGTTAGAGTGTTGGAGGTATCTCACGTAAGTGGAATCACACAGTATCGTCCTTTTGTGAATGACATTTCACTTCGCTTAGTGTCTTCAAGGTTTAAGCACGTGTCAGCATTTTCTTCTTTTTTAAGACTAAATGGGCCGGGCGCGGTGGCTCAAGCCTGTAATCCCAGCACTTTGGGAGGCCGAGGTGGACGGATCACAAGGTCAGGAGATCGAGACCATCCTGGCTAACACGGTGAAACGCCGTCTCTACTAAAAATACGAAAAAATTAGCCGGGCATGGCGGCGTGGGCCTGTAGTCCCAGCTGCTGGGGAGGCTAAGGCTGGAGAATGGTGTGAACCCGGGAGGCGGAGCTTGCAGTGAGCCGAGATCGCATTACTGCACTCCAGCCTGGGAGACAGAGCAAGACTCTGTCTCAAAACAAAAAAAAGACTAAATGATATTCCATCATATGTATATACCACATTTTGTATATCCATCTATCTGTCCATGGACACTTGGCTGTTAGAAATTTGGAGTGTTTCAACAGAAGTGAAACACTCCAACCCCTTCATTTTTCCAATGAGGACATTTGACCCCACAGAGGTCAACTAAATGGCCCTGAGACACCCAACCAGCCAGAGGCAAAGAGGGCCAGACAATTTCTAAATATCGAAAATAAGAATTAAAATATTCAAGCCAACACAGTGGCTCATGCCTGTAATCCCAACACTTTGGGAGGCTGAGGTGGGCAGATCACTTGAGGTCAGAAGTTCAAGACTAGCCTGGCCAACATGGTGAAACCCTGTCTCTACTAAAAATACAAAAAAAAAAAAAAAATCAGCTGGGCGTGGTGGCACACACCTATAATCCCAGCTTCTCGGGAGGCTGAGGCATGAGAATCACTTGAAACCGGGAGTCGGAGATTGCAGTAAGCCAAGATCACGCCACTGCACTCCAGCCTGGGTGACAAAGCAAGACTCTGTCTCAAAATAAATAGATAAATAAAATATTCATAGAACATGGAAATTGGTTACCATCCTATATTTTTGTTTACTGACATACAGATAAAAGTGTTATCTAACATTTAACATACAGCTACGAGATAATAAGATTAATTTTGTAAGCACACAGAACAACTAATTTTAGAGTTCCTCCACGTGTGGGATTCTAAATCACATGTGGCATGAATGTGTGCTCTTTGATAGCAAGCCCCGGGGGACCCAGCAAAGCAAAATATATAAATTCGCACTCACCAGCTTCTCACGCAAGAAAGGGGAAAACAAATACGTAGGAAACACCAAACTCTTTTGATCTGAAACATGAAAAACATTTTCCATGGAAGCAGGTCTCCTTTCAAATGCATCAGATAACTAGGCCGGCCTGGGAGGTGAGGAGGGGCAGGGCACAGGGCGTCTGGCAGTGGTGATGGGGGAGACCATTTAGGCTGAGTGGCCTGCTTGGAGGCTTGGAATGTGTCCCACACCAGGGTATCCATGTGCACTTGCACACTGCATGTGTGTGTCCTGTGAACACATGGAGGGTGCATGACATCTGGGGTGCGTGTCCCTCTACAGATGGGGCTGCTCGCGCGGGTGCATGGTGCCGCTCCCCGAAGTCCCAAGCTAGGGCTCGGGAGCTGTTCTAATCGCAGTTCCCACCCCACTCAGGGCTGCTCTGACATTCTTTGGAATGGTTCCCACGAAGGGAGCCCTGCCTGGGAACCTTTTTTTTTTTTTCTGTCTCTTCCTTTTCTTGTTTTGTTTTGGGAGGAAAAGCTCCTTCCCAAGCTGCTGTGACATCAAAGCCTCAGAGGGAAAGCAGTCACCACACTGTGAGCAATGGGCTGTCCCCCCATCCAGACAACAGACGCCCACAGGGCAGTAGGGCTGGCAGCCTCCTTTAGTTTCCTTGACAGTCACATTCCTGTGTGGTAGAAAAAAAATGACTGGGCTGGGTGTGGTGGCTCACGCCTGTAATCCCAGCACTTTGGGAGGCCGAGGTGGGTGGATCACCTGAGGTCAGGAGTTCAAGACCAGCCTGGCCAACATGGCAAAACCCCATCTCTACTAAAAATACAAAAATTAGCTGGGCATAGTGGTGGGTACTTGTCATCCCAGCTACTCAGGAGGCTGAAGCAGGAGAATCTCTTGAACCCAGAAGTTAGAGACTGCAGCGAGCTGAGATCGGCACCATTGCACCCCAGTCTGGTCAACAAGAGCGAAACTGTCTCAAAAATAAATAAATAAATAAATAATTGAAAGACACCCATGAGCCCATAGGAAGTTTCTCCCACTCCCCCTGGCCCTGGCCCTCCATCGTCGTAGGAGAGGGGCAGTGAGGGAAGCCCAGCCGCCACAGAGAGCGTGCTGCTAACACTGGCTGTTCTTCTCCTGGTGTCTGGCAGCTGGTGTTGCGAATCAACGCCATTTATGAGGTCCGGAGAGGAAAGAAACGGGTGAAGAGGCTGTCCCAGTCAATGGAGAGCAACTCAGGAAAAGGTAGAACCCCCACCACCACCAGCCCTCTCCCGCAAGAATCGGAAAAGAGATTCTTTCCAGAAGTGGCTTCCTGTTTTTTCTGGTTGGCTCACCAAGGAGGAGAATAAGCTGATGCTTTGTAAATGTCCTGCACTGTCTTTGGGACAATGGTGGGGCTGGGAGCTCAGCCTGGGCGACATATCCCCTGCCTCCCCATCCTTGTCCTCATCCTTGTCCTCGCCCACCACCAAGTCAGCCCAGCACTACAGGCCCTGGTGTGACTATGGGAGCAACCTTCGTTGCTTAACCTCCACAAAAGGGACCAGGACCTTCTGCTGTACTATCTGATATAGGTACAACCTAGTACCATCTGAACTAGAACCAAATTAATTTGGCAGTACATTGAGTTGGACGAGATGTGGTTTGTGCAATACATTGAGAGACAGCAAGAGGCTGGGCACAGTGGCTCAAGCCTGTAATCCCAGCTCTTTGGGAGGCTGAGACAGGCGGATCACCTGAGGTCAGAAGTTCGAGACCAGCCTGGCCAACATGGCGAAACCTGTCTCTACTAAAAAATAGAAAAATTAGTGAGGCATGGTGGCGTACACCTGTAATCCCAGCTACTCAGGAGGCTGAGGCAGGAGAATCACTGGAACCTGAAAGGTGGAGGTTGCAGTGAGCCAAGATTGTGCCACTGCGCTCCAACCTGGGTGACAGAGTGAGACTCCGCCTCAAAAAAAAAAAAAGACAACAGAACACCCCCTCTGAATTAGAACGTTTGATCTGTGCTACCACACAGAAAGAGTTTCCTACATGAGAAGAACTCACATTTGCAACTTTCTTCCTTGTTCTTTTCTTCTAGTGACAGATGAGAACAGTGAGTCTGACAGTGACACAGAGGAGAAGCTGAAAGGTGAGGAGAGCTGCTATTGTGCAGGATGCAGGCAGGTGACTTGGAAGCTACAAAGGTGGCCCCTCCTCCTTAGTATGAGGGACAGAAGCGTCCTGCCCGAGCTTGCTTGGCAAAATGTGAACATCTTGGGAGACAGTGGGGCCACAGGGTGCTCCAGGGCCGGTCCGTCATGGGCATGATCAAAATGGCACTACAGTTGCTGAGAGCCAGGGAGCCTACAGTAACAGCGGCAACCTCTGCTCCCATGCCTCTCCTTATGTCCTGATGTTTTCCATGCTTAAAGGATTGACACTGCGGCCCTAAGGCTTCAGAGACCTGGAGCTTCTGCCCACTTCTGCTCAAATTACTGTGTGATCTGGAGGAAATCACTTAAGATCCAGGGCCTCTAGTTCCTCGTCTGTCTGATGAAGTTGTTGAAATAATTGGTCCCTGTGGGTCTAAAATTAGATAGTCTGGGCCTAGGCTTTAGTGAGTTTTCTGCAATTTTTCAGACCCCAGGGAGAAGCCAAAGAAAGCAAGTCCAGAGGCCAGGCGCGATGGCTCACGTCTGTAATCACAGCACTTTGGGAGGCCGAGGCAGGTGGATCACAAGGTCGGGGGTTCAAGACCAGCATGGCCAACATAGTGAAACCTTGTCACTACTAAAAATACAAAAAATTAGCCAGGCGTGGTGGCAGGTGCCTGTAATCTCAGATACTCGGGAGACTGAGGGAGGAGAATCGCTGGAACCCGGGAGGCAGAGGTTGCAGTGAGCCAAGATTGAGCCATTGCACTTCAGCCTGGGCAACAGAGCGAGACTCCATCTAAAAAAGAAAAAGAAAAAGAAGAAAACAGCAAGTCCAGGTTGCTGAACGAGATGACAGGGACCCGTCCACTCAGTGACCCTGCTGCATTCGCCTCAGACACCCAGCTGCTCCCAGACTCACCTCTAGAATGAAGCAAGGCCATTTCATTGCAGAGTCAGTGACAGAAGAGGAGGTGGACAGGAGTTCCTGAGTTAGTGGGATCTCTGCCAGTTGAGTCACAAGGGATGTTTATAAAGCTCCCAGCTCCAAAAGCCCTCTAGTCTGGATTCTGTCAAATCACACAAACCAAAAGACGAGGGAAATGGGTGAGGGGAGGAGTCACTGTCCCTACCTCATCAGACAGATGAAGGCAAGGACATCTTCAGCCTCTGCCCAGAGTCCAGACAGCAAAACCATGGCAGAGTAGAGCCACGATTCCAGGCTCCTGCACCCTGATTGATTTGGTAGCCAACTGAGTGTTGCTTCTCCCAGAACTTTGGCAGAGATCCCAAGTAAAGAGTTTCCTACTAATTTGTTAGACACAGAAGCACTTTGGGGATTAGAAAAAAGTACTTGAGCTGAGAATTACATAACCTATTGCAGCTCAGTACAGTTCCACTGGGCTCATGGTCATTTCAGGCTCTTTGCGCTCTCTCTCTCTCTCTCTCTCCCTCTCCCTCTCCCTCTCCCTCTCCCTCTCCCTCTCCCTCTCCCTCTTCCTCACCCAGCTCACAGCCAGCGCCTGGTCAACGTGAAGTCCCGCCTGAAGCAGGCGCCTCGGTACCCATCACTTGCCCGGGAGCTCATCGAGTACCAGGAGAGGCAGCTCTTCGAGTATTTTGTGGTTGTGTCTTTGCACAAGAAGCAGGCTGGGGCTGCCTACGTGCCAGAACTCACCCAACAGTTCCCTCTGAAGGTACAGGGTGGCCAGGTCCCTGTGGCCTGCCAGCGTTCTAACCATCACCTTGTTGGACTCGTGAATTCAGGGAGGTGTGGGAGTCTGAGGACCACCTAGCAGCTAGAATCTTGAAAATGGATCCTAATTAGGGTATATCAGATGGGGAAAAAAAATGCTGCTGCTAGAGAATTTGGGAGGTCCCAGAAAGGAGAGATTCAGGGACTCAAAAAGTATGGCCAGACAAATACAAAAATTAGCCAGGCATGGTGGTACAGCCTGTAGTCCCAGCTACTCAGGCTGAGACAGGAGAATCACTTGAACCCAGGAGGTGGAGGTTGCAGTGAGCCGAGATCATGCCACTGCACACCAGCCTGGGCAACAGAGCGAAACTCTGTCTCAAAAAAAAAAAGGGTGGCCAGAAATGCTTTCTCATTTCCTGTGGTTCCTGTGCTGACCATGCCATCCTCTTTGCCCTTTCCTTCCATCTCTTTATTCAGACAGCCACATCTCTTCTTAACCTAGCCTAGAAGTCTCTTTCCCCTGAAGCCCCAAGTCTCCCTAAGCACCATCACGCTTGTGTCTGTGCTAAATGTCTGCTTTGCTTGTGTGCTGTGCATCTCTGTGTGTGTCCCTTCCTTTTGTTACAGGAAGGGAATCTCAATCCAGACCTCTAGAGAGGGTTCTTGGATCTCGCACAAGAAAGAATTCAGGGCGAGTTCAGCAGAGTAAAGTGAAAGCAAATTTATTAAGAAAGTAAAGGAGGCCAGATGCGGTAACTCACGCCTGTAATCCCAGTACTTTGGGAGGCCGAGGTGGGCGGATCACTTGAGGTCAGGAGTTGGAGACCAGCCTGGCCAACGTGGCGAAACCCCGTCTCTACTAAAAATACGAAAATTAGCTGGGTGTGGTGGCATGCACCTGTAATCCCAGCTACTCAGGAGGCTGAGGCTGGAGAGTCGCTTGAACCTAAGAGGCAGAGCTTGCAGTGAGCTGAGATTGCAAAAAGTAAAGGAACGAAAGAATGGCTACTCCATAGACAGAGTAGCCCTGAGGGCTGCTGGTTGCCCAATTTTGTGGCTATTTCTTGATTATCTGCTAAACAAGGGGTGGATTATTCATGCCTCCCTTTTTTAGATCATATAGGGTAATTTCCTGGCATTGCCATGGCATTCGTAAACTGTCATGGCGCTGGTGGGAGTGTAGCAGTGAGGACGACCAGAGGTCACTCTCATTACCACCTTGATTTTGGTGGGTTTTGGCTGACTTCTTTACTGCAACCTGTTTTATCAGCAAGATCTTTATGACCTGTATTTTGTGCCGACCTCCTATCTCATCCTGTGACTTAGAATGCTTTAACCATCTGGGAATGCAGCCCAGTAGGTTTCGGCCTCATTTTACCCAGTCCCTACTCAAAATGGAGTCACTGTGGCTCACACACCTCTGACACTTTTACGTCATGGACCATGGTCGTGTGGATTCAGCTTTACCGTATGTTAAATCATGGCACCTAAAATAAAATAAATAAAATAGCGCTTAATATAGCCTGAAGCAACATGGCCAATAATTTATAAATTATTCTTAGGCTTTGACATCAGTATTAAAGAGCTTCCACCATATTCTAATTCAGTTCAACCAGAATTTACTAAGAATATATTACATTCAAGCAATTTTCTGCTTGGCCTTAGGGGATTACAGTGATGAACAAAATGTGTCTCCTGTCCTCAAGGAATTTAAACTCTGCCAGGAGGACATAAAATAACCATCTCCCCCCACCCCCGGAAAAGCATGCAGAGATTCACCAGGTAGAATCTGATGGTCTCTGGACAGACTCATGCCTCAGGGTGGGCAGAAGGGAGGGAGCTTCTGTCCTTGCCCACTCAGGGCCTCCCTTTGCCACCACGACCCAGGCATAACCCCAGCATCTACCAAGGCCCAGATCCCGCTGTCCCCAGGCCTCCCCTCCTTTCCCAGGCCAGCCGTCCTTCCATCCTGCCCACTGTGCTGCAACACCACAATCAAGTCCTATTTTTGGAGTTCAGGATAGCAATTACATAAATCGAAGTAAACCATAGGCACTGGCCTTCCAAAGGTGACACTCACCTTCCTCTAGTTGTCACACCTCTAAGGAATGAGCCCGACACCCCACTACCACGGGTATGCCCAGATTTTTTTCTTGGCAGGGGCTGCCCATGGATAAGAGAGGCCGCTGGGTGTACTCACACTGACTCTCAACAGAGATCACCGAGGCGTGAAGGCTTGTCCTGCTATCCTGTTCATTGCCTTGGGGCCTAGCACAATGCTGTTCACATGGCAATGCTTAATCAGTGTTGTAGGAATCAAGGCTGCATTAATTCATGAGTTCGTTAATGACTCACTATAATGATCAAATGATTATTGTTTCCAGCCTGGAGTCACCCACATTAAATTTTTTTTCTAAAGTAAAGTTGCACAGTCACTGTTTAAAAAGAAACTGATCCAGAAATGTATTGGGAAAGAAATTGCTGGTAATCACACCACACAGAGACCATCACTGTTAGCATTTTCTTTTTCTTCCAGTCTTTTCTAATGGTGTAATTTTCTGACAAAAGTGGAATCATACACTGCAGAGTTTTTGTATCATGCTGCATGTACTCTTTTGTAAACCTCTCATTATTTATAAGCATATTTAATAAAAATTCTAAAACATCATTTTTCAAGTTATATAATGCTCCAATATGTGAGTATTCCCCAGTCTATTTATCTATGTAACCAGTCCCCTTCTGTTGGAAATATGTCTGGCTACCAGTGTTGTGTGTGTGTGTGTGTGTGTGTGTGTGGTTTGTTTGTTTTGTTTTGTTTTTTGAGACAGTCTCATTCTATTGCCTGGGCTAGAGTGCAGTGGTGCAATCTTGGCTCACTGCAACCTCCACCTCCCGGGTACAAGCAGTTCTCCTACATTAGCCTCCCAAGCAGCTGGGATTACAGGCATGTATCACCACGCCCAGCTAATTTTTGTATTTTTAGTAGAGATGGGGTTTCACCATAATGGCCAGACTGGTCTCAAACTCTTGACCTCAAATGATCCTCCCACCTCAGCCTCCCAAAGTCCTGTGATTACAGGCATGAGCCACCACGCCCAGCCTGTGTGTGTATTTTTGAGACAGGATCTCACTCTTGCTCTTGTTATCCAGGATGGCATGGAGTGGCACGATCACAACTCACTGCAGCCTCAACCTCCTGGGCTCAAGTGATCCTTCCCGCCTCATCTTCCCAAGTAACTGGGACTACAGGCACATGCAACCATGCCCAGCTTATTTATTTATTTAGTTTTATTTATTTATTTATTTTGAGACGGAGTCTCCCTCTGTTGCCCAGGCTGGAGTGCAGTGGCGTGATCTCAGCTCACTGCAAGCTCCACCTCCCAGGTTCACGCCATCCTCCTGCCTCAGCCTCCCAAATAGCCGGGACTACAGACGCCCGTCACTATGCCCGGCTAATTTTTTGTATTTTTGGTAGAGACAGGGTTTCACCGTGTTAGCCAGGATGGTCTCGGTCTCCTGACCTCGTCATCCGCCCGCCTCAGCCTCCCAAAGTGCTGGGATTACAGGTGTGAGCCTGTAGTCTCTTTTGTAGAGACAGGTCTTCTTCTGCTGCCCAGGCTGGCCTCGAACTCCTGGACTCAAGTGATCCGCCTACCTTAGCCTCCCAAAGTGCTGGGATCCACTCTGCCTGTTTTTTTTTTTTTTTTTTTTTAATGCAATGGTGATCATCCTTGTACGTGCATTTTTACATGTCAGGCATTATCTCCTTGCCTTTGCTCACTTGCTCCCTCTGTAGAAAGGACCTTTTCCTCCTTCTCTCTCTTCTCTTTTTAAACTTTTTTTGTGGGTTTTATCCCTCACTTCTGTCCAGTCACCTGAATCAAGGCACAGTCCCTATTTGCATGCTAATGTTCCATTAAAATGTTTCCTATCCCATATTTATCTTTGACAGTTCAAGGAGACTGGGCAGTTTTCCAGCCATCTGTGATTGGTTGTATTTGTGGGAGATTTCTGTGTGCAGCTGCCTGTAACTGTGCTCCTGTGTATATACGAGCCTGTGTGCGCATACGCTGATAACTCATAGGTTGACGACGTGTGCGTAGGCACATGTGTGCCTGTATTTGTGTGTGTCCTATGTGTGATCTGGGGTGGGTGCATGCAAGTAGCGAGTGGACTGTTGAAAAGGGCTGGAACTTGTTTCCCCACAAGGTCTGCTCTTCAGTCCTGAATGCTGTTTCTTTTGTGGAGAAACTCCTTTGGTATTCTTCCTTCCTTTGGTGTTCTTGGCTGGTCCTTTCTTTGGTGTTCTTTATAATTTAAGTCATTCACTCTGTGGTAATTAATGACTCCTTCCTATAATTACACCCCGCTGGTATTTGCTTCTTTGCATGACTGTGCAAGGACAGTCAAAATTACTGTTTAGGGGACAGTCTGAGTTTGTAAATTATCAACTCAAAGACTTTGCCTGGGCCAGTTGGGTTCGTCTGTGTCGTCGTGGATGGAAGAAAGAACTGTTATATAGAAAATAAATAGTGGCTATTTATTCTGAAGGAGAACAACTAAAGGACAACTAAGTCTATAAATAGTGACTGTGTTTTATGGATTGATTGCTGTCTCAACCACTAGTATTAGTAGCACCCCATGGCTTCAATTAAATTTGGTCTAGCCTGAGGGGAATCATACTGGAAGCGGGTTTTGTAGTTGTTGTTTGTTTGTTTGTTTTGAGATGGAGTCTCGCTCTGTGGCCCAGGCTGGAGTGCAGTGGCTCGATCTTAGCTCACTGCAAGCTCTGCCTCCCGGGTTCATGCCTTTCTCCTGCCTCAGCCTCCGGAGTAGCTGGGACTACAGGCGCCCGCCATCACGCCCAGCTAATTGTTTTGTATTTTTAGTAGAGACGGGGTTTCACCGTGTTAGCCAGGATGGTCTCGATCTCCTGACCTCGTGATCTGCCCACCTCAGCCTCCCAAAGTGCTGGGATTACAGGCGTGAGCCACCGCACCCGGCCAGGAAGCAGTTTTTAAAGTTGAAAACAATCAGCCTGGTGCTCTCTGCCTTTGGATACTCTTCTTCAGAGCCCTCCCCTCCCTGACACTTGGTGACTTTGGGAAGGCTTGTTGACCATCAGGAGCGGTGAACAGGACTACTAGCCTGCCGACTTCAGAAAGTCGGCAAGGGTATTTTAAAGTAGAGCTCGGGCCAGGCGCGGTGGCTCACACCTGTAATCCCAACACTTTGGGAGGCCGAGGCGGGTGGATCACTTGAGGTCAGGAGTTCGAGACTGGCCTGGCCAACATCGTGAAGCCCCGTCTCTATTAAAAATACAAAAATTAGTCGGACGTGGTGACAGGCACCTGTAATACCAGCTACTTGGGAGGCTGAGGTAGGAGAATCACTTGAACCCAGGAGGTGGAGGTTGCAGTGAGCCGAGATTGCAGCATTGCACTCCAGCCTGGGTGACAGAGCAAGACTCCATCTCAAAATAATGAATGAATGAATAAATAAAGTGGAGCTCACTAGCAAGCTATTGGAAACAAAAGAAATGGATGCAAATTATTACAGAAACAATTTAGGTTAGGGCCAAACACCGTGACTCACGCCTGTAATCCCAACACTCTGGGAGACCAAGGCAGGCAGATCACTTGAGGCCAGGAGTTCAAGATCAGCCTGGCCAACATGGTGAAACCCTGTTTCTACTGAAAATACAAAAAAAAAAAAAAAAAAAGCTAGGTGTGGTGGTACATGCTTGTAATCCCAGCTACTCAAGAGGCTGAGGCAGGAGAGTCACTTGAACCCATGAGGTAGAGGTTGCAGTGAGCCAAGATCACACCACTGCACTCCAGCCTGGGTGACAGAGTGAGACTCTGTCTCAAAAAAAAAAAAAAAAAAATGGAAGGAAGGAAGGAAGGAAGGAAGTTAGCCGTTATATTTAGGTTAGACATTATCAATTCCTAACCTCAGATATCCAGATATGTGATATTTCAAATTACTGAAGATAACCTTAGCATGATGCATTTTAAAGACTTTTTATAAAGGAAATTTAACAAGTATAAACCTATTAACAATAGCAACAAAGCCTACAATTCTCCTCACATGAAAAAGTATCTGTTTATAAGCAAATATGAATAATAATGAGATAAATAATTAGAAATTATTATTTTGTGTTTCCCAAACTTGTATCTGGGGTGCTTTTTAAAAGCACAGATTGCTGGCTAGATGTGATGGTATGCACTTGTAAGTCCCGCTACTCAGGATGCTGAAGCAGGAGGATTGCCTGAGCCCAGGAATTCAAGTCCAGCCTGGGCAAGATAGCAAAATTCTGGCTCTAAAAAATATATATTTATACATAGAGAGACCAAAAAATCACAAATTTCTGTTCATAAGCAAAACAAACAAACTCACGACTTTAAATATAATCTCTAAATCAGACTTCATTAATTCATCCTGTCCCTTTTTTTTTTTTTTTTGAAATGGAGTCTTACTCTGTCGCCCAGGCTGGAGTGCAGTGGTGTGATCTCGGCTCACTGCAAGCTCCGCCTCCCGGGTTTACGCCATTCTCCTGCCTCAGCCTCCCGAGTAGCTGGGACTACAGGCGCCCACCACCACGCCCAGCTAATTTTTTTTTTTTTGTATTTTTAGTAAAGACAGGGTTTCACCACGTTAGCCAGAATGGTCTCGATCTCCTGACCTCGTGATCTGACCGCCTTGGCTTCCCAAAGTACTGGGATTACAGGCATGAGCCACTGTGCCCAACTCTTTTTCTTTTTTCTTAGACAGCATCTTGCTCTGTTGCCCAGGCTGGAGTGCAGTGGCGTGATCTCAGCTCACTGCAACCTCCACCTCCTGGGTTTAAGCAGTTCTCATGCCTCAGCCTCCCAAGCAGCTGAGAGTACAGGTGCCCGCCACCACACGTGGCTAATTTTTTTGTATTTTTAGTACAGATGGGGTCTTGCTGTGTTGGCCAGGCTGGTCTCAAACTCCTGACCCCAGGTGATTCACCGGCCTCAGCCTCCCAAAGTGCTGGGATTACAGGTGTGAGCCACCATGCCCGGCCCTTGTTCTTTTTTTTTTTTTTCCCCCCGTAGACGTGGGACCTCGCTATGTTGCCCCAGCTGGTTTTGAGCTCCTGGCCTCAAGTGATCCTCCTGCCTTGGCCTCCCAAAGTGCTCATCCTGTTCTTTAACAAGATAACATTCATCCGGTCTTTGATATGTCAGATACTGTATGATGTGCTAGAATCTCATGGAGAGAGAGAGAAAAAAAAAAGATTAGATCATTTTTCTTCCAAGTTTGAACATTAACTCATGTGACCGGGACACATCACGTCACACCCCAGGGCTTATTTCCTTCTTGCTGAAATAGGAATGTCAGGCTGGATGGCGTCACGCTTCCTTCTAGTTCCAACACTCAAAGACTGTATGAAATTAGTTGAATTTCCCAGCATAATATGGTTTTACTGAATTTATTCACTGAGAGTGTTGTAACAGTCTTTGCCTGGAGTGAGAAGGGACTGCTTTGCCTGGGCCCAGAGATAGAAAGGCCTGAGTGGAGGCTCTGCCCTCCAGTTTCCTGAGCCTCCTATTTGGAAAAGACCCCTGGTAGTTTTTTTTTATTCATTGAAATAGTTACATTCTAGAATGTCAAGTGGAGAAGCATAGATAACGTTTCTCTCAAGCATACTATTTTTTCCTCCCAACTTCTCCCAGAGGTATATAGTTGGAACCGCCTTGGGGGAAAAAACGCCCCAGCAGACTGAGCTGCAAGCCCTTCCCAAGGGAAGAGGTTAAGGCGGCAGTCACAAATGTGGAGAGGTGGGAGAGGCCATCCTTCCATCATCTGCCTCACTCTCCCACGCTGGGGTTTGTTCTCCAACCGTCTCTCACCTTTCTCCCTGCAGTTGGAAAGATCTTTCAAGTTCATGAGAGAGGCTGAGGACCAGCTGAAGGCCATTCCCCAGTTCTGTTTCCCTGATGCCAAGGATTGGGTTCCTGTCCAGCAGTTCACCAGGTACGAGCTGGCTTCTCCCCTTCCCAGCCCCAAAGACTCAGGTGGGACTTAGAGACGGGGTTACAGGTGGCAGACCCCGTGAGTCATTCCCACCGTTACGCAATCCTGATGGGCCCTGGCCTGGAGCTTTCCCCAAGGGGTGTTTTAAAGCTTCCCTGAAGGTGAGAGTCACCTGCCCAGCATGCAGACCTCCCCGGCCTCCTGCTCAATCTGGGGATGTTTGTTTCAGAAGCCTCCCGGAAGGTAATTCTTAGCCTGGGAAAAGTTAGGGCAACATTGCCCTTCCCGGTTCTCATCCCGAAACATCTCTTCAGTCTCCCATCCAACCGTTTCTTGGATTGGGATCCGTTTACGTTTCTGCTTCATCTTGTGTTATTAGACACCAGTGTTTTTATTATCAGATGTTTCAGCATTTGGCCAAACTCAGTAGGCTGCGGGTCCTGTCTTTAAGGGGTACCGTGTTCCTTGAGGGTGGCTCAGCAGTCTTTAAGGACCGTCCAAGCTTTGGGGCTGCCCTGTACAGACCATGACCTGAGAGAGCTGTCCCGGGGCAATTCCAAGAGGGGCACAGAACTGTCCCACTCTTCCGCTGCTCTCTCACCGAGTCACATCCCCAGATGAGCAGATGTCACTGCACTCACACATGCTCGGCTCCCTGAGGACAGCACCCCAGGCGCTCTCTTCAGCCTCCAGAGTCAATGACAGTTGTGTTTTGTAAAGTGGGGCAGCCCAGGTGATTGAATGCTGGGAGAGCCCTAAGCTAGGCATGGTGGCAAGTGCCTGTAATCCCAGCTACTCGGGGAAGCTGGGGCAGGAGAATCGCTTGAACCTGGGAGGCGGAGGTTGTGGTGAGCCGAGATCACACCACTGCACCCCAGTCTGGGCAACCGAGTGAGACTCTGCCTCAGGAAAAAAAAAAAAAAAGAAAAAAGAAAGAAAAAATGATGGGAGAGCCCCGGATGGAAACAAAGTAGCACATTTCCTCTCAGGCCACAGCAACACTTTAGTTCTCAGTTTCACTGACTTTTTTTTTTTTTTTTTTTTTTTTTGAGATGGAGTCTTGCTTCTTCCTCCAGGCTGGAGTGTAATGGCATGATCTTGGCTGACTGCTACCTCCGCCTCCTGGGTTCAAGCAATTCCCTTGCCTCAGCCTCCCCAGTAGCTGGGAGTACAGACATGTGCCACCATGCCTGGCTAATTTTTGTATTTTTAGTAGAGACGGGGTTTCACCCTGTTGGCCAGGTGGGTCTCGAACTCCTGACCTCAAGTGATCCACCCACCTCGGCCTCCCAAAGTGCTGGGATTACAGGCGTGAGCCACCGTGCCCAGCCCGGTCTCACTGACATTTACTATGAAGCTATGGGTGAGCCGTGTCTCAGCACGGACAGGGACAGGTGGGACGGGGAGCGGCCTTTCCTACGGCCTCCTGCAGTGCGTCCCCTGGCTGCTCACTGCCACCCCTTGCTGCAGAGTGATGAGGTGTCTTTGGTTTTGTTTTGCTTTGTGATGCGTTTGTGTTTTCCCAACCACAGTGAAACGTTCTCATTTGTCTTAACTGGAGAAGATGGGAGCAGAAGGTTCGGTTACTGCCGAAGACTGCTGGTGAGTACAGTCTGCTTTCAGCCTGCAAGAGCCTCGTGGACAGCCAGGTCTGACTTCCTGGTCCCGTGAGACTGAGATTCCCCAATGGGCCACAGGAGGAGAAGGAGCAGGGGGAGTGGCAGGTGAATCAGGATAGTTAATACCACAGAAAAATCTGGCACAGTGGCTCATGCCTATAATCTCAGCACTTTGGAGAGATGAGGGGGACAGATCACTTGAGACCAGGAGTTCGAGACCAGCCTGGGTAACAAAATGAGGCCCCAGCTCTATTTTAAAAATATATACTAAAAAATAAAAAATTAAAAAACAGGAATTGAGGGTGCTCACCTGAGTCTTCTTGGTAGGTGGGAATGTCTGTTTCCATCAGAAATAAAATACTTTTATTTCATTTTGAGATAGAGTCTCACTCTGCTGCCTGGGCTGGAGTGCAGTGGATCATGTTTCACTGTAGCCTCGACCTCCCCAGCTTAGGTGATCCTCCTGCCTCAGCCTCCCAAGTAGCTGGGACCACAGGCATGTACCACCACACATGGCTAATTTTTAAATTATTTGTAGAGACAGGATCTTGCTATGTTGCCCAGGCTGGTCTCGAACTCTTGGGCTCAAGCAGTCTTCCCACTTTGGCCTCCCAGTGTGCTGGGATTACAGGCATGAACCACTGCAACTGGACAGAAATACTTTCTCCATTATTTTTCCTGCCAAATAAAAGACCTTTCTCTCTTTAAGCAAAATATTTTTTTCTAATAAAATGTGCCAAACAGACCCTGATCACTTAGAGAGAACATTCAGAATGGTTGCTAAAGACAGAAGACTCAAATAATTCAAGAATGTCCCCTTCAGAAGAATGACCTTTAAAAGTCAGGAACTTATTTCAGTGCAATGATCCTGCTAAAGCATTTTAGAATTGTCATTTTGAGGCCCGTTCTTTTGAAAATCTTCAGTAATGGTGAATCTTTTTCCACTGAGAATATACTTGAGTCCCTAAAATAGGCTGAAAAACTTTAGAGTCAAGTATAATACATGGCACATAGTAGGTGTTCAAGAAACATTTTTTGAAGTAATCAGTAAAATGAAAAGCATGGATAATTGAAAATGTTAAGTGAGATAATAATTTTGTTGATCAAATTACTTTAGGGTTAAAGTATTGAGATTGAGGTCAGGCGCAGGCTGACGCCAGTAATCCTAGCACTTTGGGAGGCTGAGGTAGGCAGATTGCGTGAGCTCAGGAGTTCAAGACCAGCTTGGCCAACATGGTGAAGCCCTATCTCTACTAAAAATACAAAAAAATAGCTGGGCATGGCAACACACGCCTGTAATTCCAGCCATTCAGGAGGCTGAGTCACAAGAATCGCTTGAACCCGGGAGGTAGAGGCTGCAGCGAGCCGAGATCGCGTCACTGCACTCCAGTCTGGACAACAGAGCAAGACTCTGTCTCCAGAAATAAATAAATAAAATTTTTTTTAAGTATTGAGATTGGGCAGGGTGCGTGGCTCTCTCTCCCCTATAATCCCAGCACTTTGGGAGGCCGAGGTGGGCAGATTACGAGGTCAGGAGTTCGAGACAAGCCTGGCCAATATGGTGAAACCCCTTCTCTACTAAAAGCACAAAAATTAGCAGGGCGTGGTGGTATGCACCTGTAATCCCAGCTACTTGGGAGGCTGAGGCAGGAGAATCACTTGAACCCGGGAGGTGGAGGTTGCAGTGAGCCAACATCGTTCCACTGTACTCCAGCCTGGTGACAGAGTGAGACGCCGTCTCAAAAAAAAAAAAAAAAAAAAAGTATTGAGATTGATCTTTTTTTTTTTGGTTTGAAAATTAGCTTAAAACTGAGTTTTCAGAAAGATCTTCAGAAATGATTTCTCACTTGAAATTATCATTATAATAAACATATAGTGATAACAAACAATTATAACAAACATTATAATCAACACAATGGGATAACAACTTACTTTATTGGGTTTTCCAGAGCTACGATATGTGGAAACATCTGGCACTTGATAGTTTCCCAAAAAACATGTGGGTTCCTTTCTTCCCTGAAGTTGTCAACACTCATAATTCCCTTGTGTTTCTCTCCAAAAAGCCTGGAGGCAAAGGGAAGCGCCTTCCTGAAGTTTACTGCATTGTGAGCCGCCTCGGATGCTTCAGCCTCTTTTCAAAGGTGAGAACTTGGACCTCAGAGAAAGAGGAAGGGAAGGAATGGGAGGGCTCTAGAGGGGTCCAGGGAATACCCCCATGTCCTGGGCCTTCTCTCATTTTATTCTCTACCTACTTCCCTTCCCATTTCTTCACTCCTCTCCTCATCACCCCTCTGTTATCTCACCACTGGTTCAGGAAATGAGAGTTGATGGGCCTGGTGCAGTGGCGGGGTGGCTCACGCCTATAATCCCAGCACTTTGGGAGTCTGAGGCGGGCGGATCACTTGAGGTCAGGAGTTCAAGACGAGCCTGACCAGCATGGTGAAAGCCCATCTTTACTAAAAATACAAAAAAAATTAGCCGGGCATGGTGGTGCCTGCCTGTAGTCCCAGTTACTCGGGAGGTTGAGGCAGGAGAATCACTTGAACCCGGGAGGTGGAGGTTGCAGAGAGCCAAGATCATGCCATTGCACTCCAGCCTGGTGACAGAGCAAGACTCCGTCTCAAAAAAAAAAAAAAAAAAAAAAGAGTTAATGAAGGGCCAGGTTCAGAAAGTGTGTGTGGTGCAGGGAGGGTGAGATAATTGAAGTTGAGAAAGGGAGGGGTAGAGGACCCTCCCAGAATATTGCAGGTGTTTTATTTTTCTTCTTCTGAGTATTGCCTTTTGTCATATGAGCTTTGGCGTGAAAAAGCTACTATAATAGATGGATAGGTGTGTACCCACGTGTATATGTGTCATGTATGTGTAACAGTTTTGTGGAGGGGGGATTAATTCTTTTAATAGTGCTCTAAGTTTATCAAAATATTCATATAATTTGGTCTTCTCTTCTGGAAAATGAGCCAATATATGAACACATAGGAATTGCCATATTGAATTAGCTCATCTACCCCAGTGTTCTGGATTGGTATATAGGAAAGAATTACTATCCTATATGATGCTGATCTCAAAAACTAGGTATAATCCAACATCATTTCCTATATTAACCAGACATGAGTGTCTAATTCATAATTTTTTTTTTCTTTTTTTGAGACAGAGTCTCACTCTGTCACCCAGGCCAGAGTGCGGTGGCGCGATCTTGGCTCACTGCCACCTACACCTCCCGGGTTCAAGTCATTCTTGTGCCACAGCCTCCTGAGTAGCTGGAATTATAGGCGCGTGCCACCACGCCTGGCTAATTTTGTATTTTTAGTAGAGATGGGGTTTCATCATGTTGCTCAGGCTGGTCTCAAACTGACCTCAAGTGATCCACCCACCTTGGCCTCCCAAAGTGCTGGGATGATAGGCGTGAGCCACCGCATCCAGCCTAATTGATAAATTTATTTTCAGTCCTTCTTGAGTATATAGATCTGTCTGAGCTTTCTTTTGGGAATTGAAGTTCCTGCACCTACGGTCCATGGATGTTAAAGCAGTACTCCCTAAAAGCATTTCTTTTTTGTTTGTGTTTTTGAGACGGAGTCTCACTCTGTTGTCAGGCTGGAGTGCAGTGGCGCAATCTTGGCTCACTACAACCTCCACCTCCTGGGTTCAAGCAATTCTCCTGCCTCAGCCTCCCGAGTAGCTGGGACTACAGGCACATGCCACCACACCCAGCTAATTTTTGTGTTTTTAGTAGAGACGGGGTTTTACCACGTTGGCCAGGATGGTCTCCATCTCCTGACCTCATAATCCACCCGCCTCAGCCTCCCAAAGTGCTGGGATTACAGGCATGAGCCACTGCGCCCAGCCCCTAAAAGCATTTCTATAAAAAAAGCCTTCCTCCTGCCCGCCCTCTCCCTAAATTCAGAGGAAGCCTGAATTATACAGATGCAGTGTAATCTCTTCCCATGGTAGAACTTGTACTTCTCTGCAAGTCTGTTTGAAAGAGTTAATGTCTGGTCAGGAGGCTGAGACCGGTAGATCACTTGAGCCCAAGAGTTCAAGGCTGTGCTGAGCTGTGATCTCATCACTGCACTCCAGCCTGGGAAAACTAGCGAGACTCTGTCTCTAATTAAAAAACAAAAAACAAAAGAAGGCCAGGCGCAGTGTCTCACACCTATAATCCTAGTACTTTGGGCGGCCAAGGCAGGAGGATCGCTTGAGTCCACGAGTTCAAGACCAGACTAGGCAACATGGTGAAACCCTGTCTGTACAAAAAATACAAAAAAAATTAGCCAGGCATGGTAGTATGCACCTGTAGTTCCAGCTACCTGGGAGGCTGAGAGGTGGGAGGATTGCTTGAGCCTAGGAGGCTAGGCTGCAGCGAGCCACGTTCACACCAGTACACTCCAGCCTTGGCGATAGAGTGAGACCCTGTCAAGAAAGAAAAGGAAAAAGAAAAGAAAAGAAAGAGAAATAAAGAGAAAGATAAAGAGGAAGGAAGGGAGGGAGGGAGAGAGGGAAGGAGGGAGGAGGGGAGAGGGAGGGAGGAAGGAAGAGGGGGAGGGAAAGGAAGGAAAGAAAGGAAAATGAAAGGAAAAAGAAAGAAGGAAAATGAATGCTATCAGTGTAATCTTAGCCAGGGTCTCCCCTCCCCTCCACCAGAAGTGGTCGTCATTTTATGTTGGGGTTGGCCATTGGCAAGGTCTAGCAGGCTGGGCATTACTGCTCAGGCCAGTCTTTCATGTGATTTGTTTACATATGAAGTAAGGTTATAGGTCGTAGCCTTTGTTGTTGTCAGAATGCTTATGAACACTGGAAGTAAAACAGCTCATGTGAGTTAGGCCAGCTTCCAAGTGGAGGCTTTGAAGTTCGCATAAGCGTCCTTACTGTCATGGGCAGGGGACGTGAAGCCAGTAAATGTGCTAACATACTTCTGTGATGCAGAGTCCTTGGTTTTCCTGTCTGTTTTCTGACCAGGGATATTTTAGGAGCACAGTGTGATGACTTGCTGAAGACCACACAGCAGATATTCAGGAGAGAACCGGAACCAGAGCTTTAGCTAACTGAGCCCAGGAACTTGAGCTATTTCTAGGTGTGGGGCAAGGATGGCCAAAATGGCATATTGTCCTTTAGAACAGAAAGGAGTCATGGAGAAGAAGAAGAAGAGAGCAGCTCTTAGAATCTCTGAAGGAAAGGGTATCAGTGAACAATTGCTCTAGTAATACCATCTAATGAACCACAGAGCCTTCAATATTCAATCGTTTGTTCTCCCAGCTGTGAGGTTAGCTGGGGTTTGGGCCCGGCAAGTATTGTGAAGAGTCTGGGTTGGCTGATTGAGGCTGGCTGGTTGGCTGATCTAGCTGCTCTAGAGGCTGCAAGTCTGGGCGCAGGCCTGCTCCACATGTCTCCCATACTCCTAGACAGTGAGATGGCCCACATGTGCTCTTCTCGTGGCAATGGCAGAGGCACAAGAGGGCACACAAAACACAAAGGCAGGCCTCCTAAGGCCTGGACAGAGAACTCGCATGGCAATGCTTCTGCCTCATTCTGGCCAGTGTCCCAAAAGCTGCTTTTTTTTTTTTTTTTTGGAGATGGAGTCTTGCTCTGTCGCCCAGGCTGGAGTGCAGTGTTGCGATCTTGGTTCACTGCAATCTCCGCCTCCCAGGTTCAAGTGATTCTCCTTCCCAGCCTCCTGAGTAGCTGAGATTATAGGCACCTGCCACCACACCCAGCTAATTTTTGTATTTTTAGTAGAGACAGGGTTTCACCATGTTGGCCAGGCTGGTCTTGAACTCCTGACCTCAGGTAACCTGCCTGCCTCGGCCTCCCAAAATGCTGGGATTACAGGCATGAGCCCCTGTGCCTGGCCGCGAGCTTTTTTAAATTAATGTCCCCCAAAGCAGCCTTTTTAGATGTGTTTTCCTTAACTGCCTCCCCCAAAATTCTTACTAATTTTTTTCATATTATTGTCTTTTTCTTGTGCTAAAATATATACATAACGAAAAATTTACCATCTTAACCATTTTAACAGTTCAGTGGCATTACATCCACATTGTTGTGCAACAGTCACCACCATCTATCTCCCGAGCTTTTTCATCTCCCCCAACAGAAACTCTGTACCCATTGAGGCCAGGCGTGGTGGCTCACGCCTGTAATCCCAGCACTCTGGGAGGCTGAGGTGGGGATCACCTAAGGTCATGAGTTCAAGACCAGCCTGACCAACATGGTGAAACCCCATCTCTACTAAAAATACAAAAATTAGCTAGAGCCAGGTGCAGTGGCTCACACCTGTAATCCCAGCACTTTTTGGGAGACTGAGGTGGGCAGATCACCTGATGCCAGGAGTTCAACACCAGCCTGGCAAACATGGTGAAACCCCATTTCTACTAAAAATACAAAAATTAGCCAGGGCTGAGGCAGGAGAATCACTTGAACCTGGGAAGCAGAGGTTGCAATGAGCCAAGATCGCACCACTGTACTCCAGCCTGGGCAACAATAGCGAAACTGTGGCTCAAAAAAAAAAAAAAATTAAGTGAGTGTGGTGGTGGGCATCTGTAATTCCAGCTACTCAGGAGGCTGAGGCAGGAGAATCGCTTGAACCTGGGGAGCAGAGGTTGCAGTGAGCCAAGATCACGCCATTACACTCCAGCCTGGACAACAAGAGCGAGACTCCATCTCAAGAGAAAAAAGAAATTCTGTACTCATTAAACAATAACTTCCCATTCCCCCTGCCAACCCCTTACCATCGCCATTCTACTTTCTATTTTTATGAATTTGAGGATTCTAGGAGTGTCATAGAGGTAGAACCATGCAATAGTTGTCCTTTTGCCACTGACTTCAATTCACTTAGCGTAATATTTTCAGGGTTCACTCATGTTGTAGCATGTATCTGTACTTCATTCCTTTTGTGGCTGAATAATATTCCACTGTATGTGTGTACAACATTTTATTTATCCATTTGGTATGTACAACATTTGATTTATCCATTTATCCATTGATGGACATTTGGGTGGTTTCCACGTTGTGGCCATTGTGAATTATGCTGCTAGGAACACACGTGTACAAATAAATATCTATTCAAGTCCCTGCTTCAATTCTTTTGGGTACACACCCAGAAATAGAGTTGCTGGATCATATGGTAATTCTATTTAGTTTTTTGAGGAACTGCCAACCTGTCTTTTTAATTTTAATAATACATTTTATTTAACAGAATATGTCCAAAATATTATTTTATTTCAGCATATAGTTGACTTGAAAAAAAATTGATATATTTTATATTCTTAATTGTCTATTTCGAGGGCTGGGCACGGCGGCTCACACCTGTAATCCTAGCACTTTGGGAGGCCAAGGTGGTTGGACCACCTGAGGTCAGGAGTTCCAGCCTGGCCAACATGGCAAAATTCCGTCTCTACTAAAAATACAAAAATTAGCCGGGTGAGGTGGCACGTGCCTGTAATCCCAGCTACTTGAGAGGCTGAGGCACGAGAACTGCTTGAACCCAGGAGGCAGAGGTTGCAGTGAGCCAAGATTGGGCCATTGCACTCCAGCCTGGGCAACAGAGCAAGACTCAGTCTCAAAAACTAAAAAAATTTTTTAAAAAGTCCAGGCGCAGTGACTCATGCTTATAATCCCAGCACTTTGGGAGGCCGAGATGGGTGGATCACGAGGTCAGGAAATCAAGACCATCCTGGCTAACACGGTGAAACCCTGTCTCTACTAAAAAAATACAAAAAAATTAGCCAGGCATGGTGGCGGGCGCCTGTCATCCCAGCTACTCGGTGGGCTGAGGCAGGAGAATGGTGTGAACCTGGGAGGTGGAGCTTGCAGTGAGCTGAGATTGCGCCACTGCACTCCAGCCTGGGCGAAAGAGCGAGACTCCATCTCAAAAAAAAAAAAAAAAAAAATGTGTATTTTGAAATTTAGTTGGTATTTTACACTTTTTTTTGGAGGCTGAGGCACAAGAATTGCTTGAACTCAGGAGACAGAGGTTGTTGCAGTGAGCCAAGATTGCGCCATTGCACTCCAGCCTGGGCGACAGAGCAAGACTCAGTCTCAAAAAAAAAAAAAGAAAAGAAAAGAAAAGAAAAATTGTGTATTTTGAAATTCAGTTGGTATTTTACACTTTTATTTTTTTTAGATGGTTTTGCTCTTGTTGCCCAGGCTGGAGTGCAATGGCATGGTGTCAGCCCAATGCAACCTCTGCCTACTGGATTCAAGCAATTCTCCTGTTTCAGCCTCCTAAGTAGCTAGGAGTACAGGCGCCTGCCACCACGCCCAGCTAATTTTGTAGTTTTAGTAGAGACAGGGTTTCACCATGTTGGCCAGGCCGGTCTCGAACTCCCAACCTCAGGTGATCCGCCCACCTTAGCCTCCCAAAGTGTTAGGATTACAGGTGGGAGCCACCGTGCCCAGCTAGTATTTTACACTTAACAGTACATCTGGGCTGGGCGCAATGGCTCACACCTGTAATCCCAGCACTGGGAGGCCGAGATGGGCGGATCACCTGAGGTCGGGAGTTTGAGACAGCCTGACCAACATGGAGAAACCCCATCTCTACTAAAACTACAAAATTAGCCAGGCGCGGTGGTGCATGCCTGTAATTCCAGCTACTCAGGAGGCTGAGGCAAGAGAATCGCTTGAACCTGGGAGGTGGAGGTTGTAGTGAGCCAAGATCGTGCCAATGCACTCCAGCCTAGGCAACAAGAGCAAAACTCTGTCTCAAAAAAATAAAATATAATAAAAAATGAAAAAAAAACTCTGAATTCAGACTAGCCACATTTCAAGGGCTCAATAGCTACATGTGATACTTTTATAAATGGCAGTTTTTAAAAATAGAGACTGGGTCTCACTATGTTGCCCAGGCTGTAATGCAGTGGCATGATCATAGCTCATTGCAGCCTCAAATTCCTGGGCTCAAGCAATCCTCCTGCCTCAGCCTCCCAAGTAGCTGGGATTACAGGTGTGTGCCACCTTACACAGCTTCATAAATGGCATTTTAATTTAGACTCTTCGATTTACAGTTGGATTGTGGAGAGTTTGGATTTTGTTTTTTGTGGTTTTTTAAGTTTTTTAGTAGTAGCTTTATTGAGATATAATTCAAATACCATGGGATTCACTCATTTAAAGTACACAATTTGCTGAGCACAGTGGCAAGTACCTGTAGTCTCAGCTACTCAGGAGGCTGATGTAGGAGGACACTTGAGCCCAGAAGTTGAAGGCAAGTCTGGGCAACCTAGCAAGACCCCCATCTCTAAAAGAATAAAAAAATATACAGTTCAATGGCTTTTAGCATATTCACAGAGTTATACAAGCATCACCATGATTTTAGAACATTTTCATCACCCCAACAAAACATCCTATACCTATTAGCAGTTACTCCCTAACTCTAAGCAACCTTCAATCCGCTTTCTGTCTCTCTGGATTTTTCTATTCTGGACATTTCATCTAAGTGGAATCATACACTAGATGGCCTTTTATAACTAGCTTCTTTCACTTAGCATAATGTCTTCAAGAGTTATCCAAGTTATAGCATATATCAGCACTTTGATGGCTAAATAATATTCCATTATATGGATATAGCACATTTTGTTTATCATTTCCTCAGTTAACGGACATTTAAGTTTCTTCCGTGTTGTGGCTATCATGAATAATGCTGCTACAGACAATCATGTACAAATTTTTATGTGAACATATATGTTTTCATTTTTTTGGGGTAGGGACCTAGGAGTGCTATGTGCTGGGTCATATGGTAACTCTATGTTTAACCTTTTGAGGAACTACCAGACTGTTCTCCAGAGTGGCTTCACTATTTACATTCCTACCAGCAGTTTACGAGAGTTCTAATTTCTCTACGTCCTTGCCAACACTTGTTATTATCTGTCTTTTTATTAGAGTCATCCTAACGGGTGTGAAGTGGTATCTCATGGTGCTTTTGATTTGTATTTTCCTGATGGATATCCCCTCCCGTGACATTTTAATCCATAAATAAACTGTATTATCTGTTTATGTACTTTGACCTCTTAGAGGGCTACACACCATGATAATATCTAAGTTTTTTCACTCCTGCCAAAAACCAGTTCTTACCCCCTTGGGGTGATATTACCCCCATTGGGAATGCATGTATTAGCACTACCAGTCACATGGCCAAACCCTAAGTCAAAGGGGCAAGGAAGTAGACTTCACTCCTTGAGTAGGAGCTGCAACATTGCATGGCAAAGGGTGTGGACACACAGAGGGGAGAAAAATTGGGGACAATCATGTGGAGGGTCAGAAGGCCTGTTCCGGCCTCATGGGGAAAGCAGGGCTTCCCCGTAATTCTTAAGTCACCATGCCATGGTGCTCTGGCTTCAGAATAGCTAAGCCGCGTTTCTGACCCTTGCAGATATTGGATGAGGTGGAAAAAAGACGAGGCATCTCTCCTGCCCTGGTTCAACCACTCATGAGAAGTGTCATGGAAGCTCCTTTCCCAGCCCTGGGCAAAACCATCCTTGTCAAGAACTTCCTGCCAGGTTCAGGAACTGAGGTAAGTTGCCAGACTCCTTCCTTCTCCCTGGGGAGGTAGTGGCCCAGACAGCTGAGTCTCCGTGCTCAGAGGGGCTGCCTTTCAGTGAGCAGTCCAATTCCATGGTGTCTTCTCCCCACCCCTCGGGTTGGCCCAGATCACTCATCGTGAGTTCCACCCTCAGTCCATCCAGGCTAGGACTCTGCCCAAGCGGGAACTATGCTACGGCAGCTGGGGTGTTCCTTTGCATGATGTTGGCCTCAGGTTAGGGATCTGCACGGAACATCCTTAGTTTCTTTTAATAGCCCATTTTCATTCATAGATTGTATTGAAACCTATTTACATTTCAAGTCTGTATCGCCTCTATAACTTTATTTTTTGTTTTTGTTTTTGAGACCAAGTCTTACACTATTGCCCAGGCTGGAGTGCAGTGGTGCAATCTCAGCTCACTGCAACCTCTGCCTCCCAGGTTCAAGCTATTCTCCTGCCTCAGCCTCCCAAGTAGCTGGGACTACAGGTGCCTGCCACCACACCTGGCTAATTTTTGTATTTTTAGTAGAGACGGGATTTCACCACGTTGGCCAGGATGGTCTCAAACTCCTGACCTCGTGATCCGCCCGCCTCAGCCTCCCAAAGTTCTGGGATTACAAGCATGAGCCACTGTGCCCAGCCTGGGCTGGGATTTTACGAAAGAGTTTGTTTTCATCCCTCCCATCCCCTTTGCATGGCTTGGTGGACATCAGAAGAAGGACCCCATTTAGCCTTGAGTCTTCAGTTTCAGAGACCCTCAGCAAACCAGATCACCTCTGGAAACAAAGGAGGGAGGAGAATAGGCCTGGAACACTCTGGAACAACCTAGTTTCCCAGCAGAGAGAACAGCAGTCTCTCTGTTGCCAGAGAACCTGAAAACATCCCATACCAGATGCAGTGGCTTGGCCGTGGGGATGTAGCAGGGAGGTTACCAGAGGGGAAGCCTCACCGTGGGGGCAGCACCAGGCAGGTGCAATGCTAAGAGTGAAATCCACTCTCCACTCACTGGGAAGGAGGCAGCTATTTAAAGAGAAAAAAACATGACATGGGTACCAACTTGAGGGAATTCAGGAACACTTCAACAAGTGCAGAAGAAGATATATACACAGGCTGGGCACACAGTGGCTCACGCCTGTAATCCCAGCATGCCTGTAATCCCTTCTTTTGGGAAGCCGAGACAGGTGGATCACTTGGAGTCAGGAGTTCGAGACGAGCCTGGCCAACATGGTGGAACCCTGTCTCTACTAACAATACAAAAATTAGCTGGGCATGGTGGCGGGCACCTATAATCTCAGCTACTTGGGAGGCTGAGGCAGGAGAATTGCTCGAAGCTGGGAGGCAGAGGCTGCAATAAGCCAAGACTGCACCACTGCACTCCAGCCTGGCAACAGAGTAAGACTCCATCTCAAAAAAAAGAAGATATAGACACAAAGCACAAAAGCTGAAAGCACACGTCATCAGAAATGGAGTGGGATGGAGTCAGGATTACCTAAAAAACACCTTCTTGAGGTGGCAGCAAGTCTCCGAAGTGCTGCTCAGGCCTGCTGGGCGTTCCATGCTAGCCTGGGATTTCCACCCAGCAGGTAACAGTTCCTCAAGAGACAGAGATGCTCTCCGCTGGACTCTCAGGGACAGAACGGTTTTCAAAAGTCCTATACACTCTCCATGGCGAGTGCAGATATGCTGTTGCCAGGGAGAGCCCCCCAACCAGTTGGGGCCAAAAACCATTGATTTTGCCATCCTGTCTCCTCCCCTTGGTCCACACCATCCTCAGTCTCATAGCTGAATGTGAGACGCTTGCTTCCCTACCAAAGCTACCTCCTTCCCCAGTCTTCTGGCATCTCTCTTTTCCCCCAATCCTTTCGTTTTGCTTTTTTTCTTTCCCTTTTCCCCCGCCAGTGGGTCACCCCTGATGAGGACCTCAGAGCCCCATGACTGCGACGCCCGTGAGAGGCCTGGCTGCGTAGCTGGGCCCCTCCTTCATGGCTGCTCCTGTCCCCTGGCAGGTGATCGAACTGTGCCGCCCGCTGGACTCCCGGCTCGAGCACGTGGACTTTGAGTCTCTCTTCTCCTCCCTCAGCGTCCGCCACCTGGTCTGTGTGTTTGCCTCCCTGCTTCTGGAGAGGAGGGTCATCTTCATCGCAGACAAGCTCAGGTACCCACCTTGGCTACTTCGCTAAAGCGTTTGAATGACAGTCACTCTTGGACCCTCTAGTCTGTAGAGCAGGTGACTGCCTAGCATTGAAGAGTAAGCCCTTCTGAGATAAGGATGGAATAGGCTGGGCACGGTGACTCATGCCTGTAATCTCAGCACTTTGAGAGGCTGAGATGGATGGATCACATGAGGCCAGGAGCTTGAGGCCAGCCTGTCCAACATGGTGAAACCCTGTCTCTACTAAAAATAGAAAAATTAGCCAGTTGTGGTGGCCCACAACTGTTATCCCAGCTACTTGGGAGGCTAAGGCACAGGAATTGATTGAACCTGGGAGGTGAACATTGTGGTGAGCTGAGATCTCGCCACTGCATTCCAGCCTGGGCAACAGAGGGAGACCTTCCCTCCTGCCCCCACAAAAAAAGGATGGCCAGGCACAGTGGCTTACGCCTGTAATCCCAGCACTTTGGGAGGCTGAGGCAGTCGGATCACCTGAGGTCAGGAGTTCAAGACCAGCCTGGCCAACATGGTGAAATCCCGTCTCTACTAAAAATACAAAAATTAGCCAGGCATGGTGGCTCATGCCTATAATACCAGCTCAGCTACTTGAGAGGCTGAGGCACAAGAATCGCTTGAACCCCAGAGGCAGAGGCTGCAATGAGCTGAGATCACACCATTGCACTCCAGCCTGAGTGACAGAGCGACATTCCATCTCAAAAATAAAAATAAAATAGGCCAGGTGTGGTGACTGATGCCTGTAATCCCAACATTTTGGGAGGCCAAGGCAGGCAGATCACTTGAGGTCAGGGGTTCGAGACCAGCCTGGCCAACATGGTGAAACTCCGTCTCTGCTAAAAATACAAAAATTAGCCGCGCAAGGTGGTGGGTGCCTGTAGCCCCAGCTACTCAAGAGGCTGAGACAGGAGAATCGCTTGGACCCGGGAGGCAGAGATTGCAGTGAGCCAAGATCATGCCACTGCACTCCAGCCTGGAGACAGAGCAAGACTCCGTCTCAAAAAATAAAAAGTAAGATAAAATAAAGGATGGAATCAGTTGGCAGCTCAGACTGGAGATCTGGGAGGCATACCGTTTTGCATTGCTGTGTGCAACTTCCCTGGCATTGGTGGGCTTTCCACTCATTCTGCCATGTGTCAGACACTCCACTATGTGTAGGAAAACAGAGAAAAGACACAACTGGCATGGTGGCTCATGCCTGTAATCACTGCCCTTTAGGAGGCTGACGTGGGAGGACGCTTGAGTGAAGTAGTTTGAGACCAGCCTGGGCAACACAGTAAGATCCCCATCTCTACAAAAAATGTAAAAAAAAAAAAGAAAATTAGCCAGGTATGGTGGCTCGAGCCTGCAGTCCCTGCTACTAGGGAGGCTGAGGTAGGAAGATCACTTGAGCCCAGAAGTTCAAGGCTGCAGTGAGCTATGATCATGCCACTGCACTCCAACCTGGGCAACAGAACAAGACCTTGTCTCAAAAAAAAAAAGAAAAAGAAAAGAAAAAAAAAAACACAGACTTGTCTCAGTGCAGTGGGGTAACAGAGACATAAGCCGACTATCCAGGACCACATTAGAGGCAGGTGGAGGCAGTGAGTTCTGGAGACCAAGGGAGGGCACTCACTTCCAGGGAGGCGAGTTCTGAGGGCCAACACTCAGAACAAGTAGTCAGCACATTGCAGGCAAAAGGAGCCATCCTACAGAGATGTGGGGACAAGTGAGGCCTAGCTGTCACCTTCAGGACTGCAAAGTAGGCTGGGCACAGTGGCTCATGAGTGTAATCCCAGCACTTTGGGAAGCTGAGGCGGGTGGATCACTTGAGGTCAGAAGTTCAAGACCAGCCTAACCAACATAGTGAAACCCCGTCTCTACTAAAACTACCAAAAAATTTAGTATGGCATGGTGGCGCACGCCTGTAATCCCAGCTACTTGGGAGGCTTGAAGAGGAATCGCTTGAACCCGGGAGACGGAGGTTGCAGTGAGCCGAGATCACGCCATTGCACTCCAGCCTGGGTAACAAGAGCGAAATTTAAAAAAAAAAAAAAAAGAGAGAGAGAGAAAGAAAAATAACTGCAAAGTAGTTCACTAGGGCTGGCGCAGAGAGAGGAAGGTGGGGGAGGGAGATGAGCCAGCAGTGGTGGACAGAAGCCAGCTCACAGAAGGCTGCAGGGCTATGCTCGAGAGGACAGACCGTCCTAAGGGCATCCCTGCCTCACCGTTAAAGCGAATGCCCTCCCATCACACACACAGACTCAGTGCCCCATAGGAGGCCACCCCCATCCCAGTGGGCACATTCAGTGATTTGCTAAGGCCATGTCACAAATCAAAGAAGATCCGGAAGGAAATGCAGACAAGGACTTGGGTTCGTTCTAAGCTTCTAAAAAGAGAATTCCTTGCATTTTTGAAATACTGAATCAGAGCCTTCTTTGCTTTGGAACTGGGGGCACAGAAGCGTGAGGGGTGGCTGCAGCCCCAGAAAGGGCCGAGATGCGGGGCCAGCCAACCGGGTGGTGCAGATGAGGCCACCTGAGAAGTACATCTGGAAAGAAGCAGTGCCAAAACAAAAAAAAAACCTGGAGCACTGTGGTTTGGAGAGGAAATCTGACTCTGACCTATGGAAAACAAAAGAGAAGAAAAAAAGGCATAGAAGAATGGAAGGGACAAACTCTGTAGATAGGCGGGGTGGGAAGCGGCCCCACCCTCTCCCCTCACACGGCACATCTGGTCACCTTTCTGATGCACCTCTTTGGACAGCAGCCATCTGGCTGTTCCCAGCCTGCTCCCACCCTGTTTTAGTTCACTATTCACTTTTAAATGTCAGCGTGATTGTACTCCTGGTGCACTTTTGTCAGCTCTGGAAGCGGGCCCTCTCTGTAAGCCTGCAGCTGGTGCTGGGCGCTGGGGAGCTCTCCAAGCTCCTGGGCACTGGGGAATTCAGCCGAGGGAGTTCTCAAGGTTGGAGCCCTGGAAGCCAGGATGAGTAATAACCCTTCAGTGACCAGGATCAGATTTCATCAGCACCACAGTAACTGTCTTTATCCTCTCCATCCCCCACTCCCTCCATCCCCTAGAGGTGGAATTCTCAGGCTTGGATTTAGGGGAGGGGAAAATGATGGATTTCAGAAAGGCCTGGGCTAGAAGTGGAAAGCCAGCCAAGGAAACCCAGCTGGAGTGGTGGTGGGGACAGAGTCCCCGGGGAATGTGCCTGCGGGGTGAAGATGTTAGATTTGGGGAGGACCCACCCTGAGAAGATGTCTGGGAAGGGCACCGCTGGAGAGGAGCCGTGGGCCCCCTTCACACACCCCAGCCTCCCCCAGACTCCCTCCAGGGGGAAGAAAACAAAGTTTCATGGGTTTTTCTGGTAAAAGTACAGTGAGACACCACTGCACTCCAGTCCTGGTGACAGAGCAAGACTCTGTCTCTAAAAATTGAGGAAAAAAAAAACAAAACTTAAAAACAAAGTGCAGGGAGAGAAAAGGTGGGAACAGAAAAGGGAAGGGGCCTTGTCAGAGACAAACACATCCCCAAAGGGCAATGCAGGGGGACATGTCAGAAGGCTCGGGACACAAAGAAACCTGGAAATGCCAGCCGGTCTCAGTGGCTCACACCTGTAATCCCAGCACTTTGGTAGGCCGAGGCGAGCAGGTCACCTGAGGTCAGGTGTTCAAGACTAGCCTGGCCAACATGGCGAAACCCCGTTTCTCCTAAAAATACAAAAATTAGCTGGTCGTGGTGGCACACGCCTGTAATCCCAGCTACTCGGGAGGCTGAGGCAGAAGAATCACTTGAACCTGGGAGGCAGAGGTTGTGGTGAGCCTAGATCACGCCATCGCACTCCCGCCTGGGCGACAGAGCGAGACTGTCTAAACAAATAAAAGAAGGAAAGAAAGAAGCCTGGAAATGCCTGCCCCACATGTGGGAGAGGACTAGATGCCTCCGCCTTTTTGCTGGACAGATATCTGGGTGGACAGGTTGGACGCTGGGCCAGCCCCACAGAGCTGCTGTCACGAGAGACAGACAAAAATAAGCAAAGCCCAGCGGCCAAGAGTGGACCCCGCCTGGATTCCTGGGCCTTGGCTGTTCCCCAGCCACCCTGCCTGCCCTGCTCTGGGGCCCCTCAACGGAGGAGACAGTCACCAGTGGGATCCATAGGAGAGGCATTGGTGTTTCTCTCCAACCTTCCACAGTGCCTGGCATTCTCCCTTGGAGGGTTCATCTTTTCAAACGGCTCATGCCATGAGTGGGTCCAGACACCAGCTGTGGCTGCCGCAAGCAGGTCTCCCCATGGGCACGTTGTGCCCATCAGGGGTTTTCTTCTGCAGCAGCTGCCAGATGTCAGGCGCTATGAGGATGGGATTTCTGTGGGAAAAGAGAAGGCAGGTATCATTTTGGTGCCCTCCTTGGAGCCAGAGCCAGACGATGGTACAGTAATGGTGTGCGTGTGTAAGAAAGACCGTTATTGGGTTTTTAGACCCTTGACAGCTTTCAGAGGTACACATCCCTCCCCCATCACGCAGGGAGGTTTCCCAGAGTAGGGAGGACCCCTGGGCATCCTTAGCCGTTGGCCCTGGGTCTCCTCATTCGTAAGACGCGGCCCCACGTGGCTCTGACTTTCCAGGACTCCACTGTCTTGTTTTCTCTGAAAGCAGCCCTCGCTTTTCCTGTTACAAATGGCTCCACATGCTCTCCCCGCTGCCCAATAAATCATCCTTCCATCCTACACGGGTTCCATGCAGACCTGAAGAGATGGAAATCTGCATAAAGAAAGGCCTGAAGAGCTCTGAGACAGGAAGAGGGTAAACAAAGCGTGAGCGAAGCTGATGAGGATGACGGCAGCGACCAGGCGTGGAGCGGCCTCTGTGCCAGGTGCCTTCCGAGGGTCTGACCTGCGTCATTTCACGCCCCCCCACAGCCCTGTCACATGGGTAACTAACAGGCGGGCAGAGGATCCATCATTCTGCTCAAAGAAGCAGGGAGTGGGAGAGCTGCCGAGCTTT